GAAAAAAAAAAAAAAAAGGAAAAAACAAACACACACACACACACACAACATCATCTGCATCTTTACATTCTCTCAATTATAGCCACACGCATATACATATTGCTCAATTCTCAGCTCCATCTAGGTTCGTCGGAGTTTGAAAGTCTAAAGTGTTGCAACTTCTGAGACACAACTATTGTATATGTGGGAACGAGAAGTCTGAACCCGTCAACTCATTACTGAGCGTACCCATCTGACAAAAAAAGCTACACTTATCTCGACCTATTGTCTTTAAGAGCGCGTTTGTTAGCCATGTCAGGACAAGACTATGCCTCTAATCAACCCATAATTCTACGTTTGTTTCCCAGGATTCCGGCCCGGATGATTAAATAAGGCCCGCGATGCACAGTAGAAATATCGTGGGAAACCGGGATAATTTGATCTCGCCTTGAGGGTAAGATATCTTCTGTCCGCACAGTACAAAAGTTTTCAAATTACAAATTTGTCCCTTAAAGTAAAAATTATTAACCAAATTAACCTCCCTTAATGCAAAAATTACTTCTTCTACCATTTACCTTACACCTTCACAAATGCAGTCCATAGAGCTTTCTCCCTCATCGACAAGGGTAATAGCGTCGCCATCAACGCCATCACCGGCACCCTGCTCGCGAGATCTCCGTTGAGGGAAAAAGCCTCAGATTCTCAGCTTCAGCCTCAAAAGCAACCATAGGTCGTTGACGCAAAAGAGACGTTGTTAAGTTGCAGAGCGATTTACAATTCCCAAATTCAGTTTCAGGAAAAGGGCCAGCCCGAAACCGTAGACTATCGCGTGTTCTTCAACGATTAATGCCGGAAATAAGGTAGATGAAATTTCGAGATGGGCTGTTTTGTTACTATCGTCATGGCTTTAATTGGTGTTTGGTAATTGGGAATTTTTTTGGTATTTTCGAATTAATTGAATTTATAAATTTGTGTTCTTGTTTTTTTTAGTTAGTCAGGGATTGGTTAGTTGATTCTAAATATTGTGAAGGTGTAACACCCTGTTGCACCTTCTGATGAAAAACCATCCTCAAAAGCTTCTCAACCATCAACTTCTCCCTCTTAAGAAATAAAGGAGAAACCTACTCCTAAAGTCGAAACACTCCTGTTGTAGACAAGCCAAAAGGAACCCCTCCCTCTCCTCCCCCGAAAACGCCAGCCACAGAACCCCAATTACCCCCTAAAGATAGGGAAAGACGAGTGAGTATTAGTTTAAATTCTGACTCTTTAGTTATTATTACCAGTGATATTTGTAACATCAGAACATGCTTCTATATTGTCAGGTTCCTATGACAAGGCTTAGGAAAAGAGTTTCCACACGTTTAAAGGATTCTTAGAACACCTTTGCATTGCTGACAACATTTAATGAAGTTGAAATGTAAGTTTATTTCTGAATCGTTGTTTTGTGTTGCTTTAAAGGGTGATGTATTTGTGCAATAGGCTTCAGGTAATTGAGTAATTATATCGACTGAAAATTAAATAGAAAAATATTTTTCTGGACTGTCGTTGGGGTGCTGCTGCCAATGGTTCAATAAAGATGCTTCTTTCCTTGCCTGATATATTGGGTCCACCAGGAGTTTGATGTTATTTATTAGATTATTGCATTGCTTTCCGAGTGTGTATTTGATTAGTGAGCTTCTATTTGTGGAAGAGTTATTTGCTCTAATTTTGCAGCACAATTAGATGCCCAAAGTCTGCCCGCCCGCCTCTCTTTTCCGGTTTCCTTAGGGCTTTGTTTGTGTGAAGGCATTTGAATGTTGATTACCATTTAAAAAACAAAGTATTTTCATCTTATAATTCTCTGTGTATCAAAATTTTTAACGGCTACAATTTCTTATTGCAGGACTAATTTAATGAAACTCCCCTCTGATTACAAGGACTCGTTTGTTGAAAAGCATGGAGTGAAGCTGAGACTAATGTCTGGATTTGTTAAAGTATTCCGGAACACCTTTATCCCTCTGTTTATTCCTCACACACTTCTTGTTAACTGGACTTGTTCTCTTTGATTCTCAGGCGGCCATTAGCACTCTACAGAAGCAGCCAATATTGAATGTTGTTATTGAGTGCATTTTTTGTGAATGCTGTTCTTGGTTTTTTTAGTTAGTCAGGGGTTGGTTAGTTGATTCTGAATATTGTTGTGGTTAATGATTTAGGAATGGTATTCAATGCATTTTTTTGGGTTAATGTATTGAGTGATTTGAGATTTTTCTTTTCCAAGTACTACCAGGTGCATGTAGCACTTATGTGAAGAAAAAACAAATCATCATTTTGGTGTGGCATTTCTATTATGAAATGTGAAATTTCCGGGTTAGTCGAGGCTAGACATTCTTAAAGGCAGTGTGAAATGAAGAACACATGTTTAAGATGTTAGTTGACAACAATATTACGGTTGCAATGATTTATAAATGAGTATCATTTTTGTTTATGTAATGATGAATGTGTACTTATCACCTAATGCTGAGTATTGTCGATGATTGGTGTGCAAATTTTCCCATGGCATTGTCGTTGATTCCTGCCGGCGAACTTTCTCTCGTTTGAATACATTCCATAAGATTTTATTAGTTGAGATTTCGCCAAAAAAAAGTCCATTGAATATGTGTATCAATTTAGCATGCAATTCTACTCTGAAATATTTTGATTGTTTCCATTTTTTGAGAATGATGAGATCTTCCTATTTTTATTGTCTTTTGTGTTGCTGGCAGCTTATGAACTTTATAATCCCAGCATATTAATTCCATAATTTTCAAAATTTGCAATTCTATCATTATTTTTTTAGCAGTTGAATACATCATCATTTTACATTTAAAATTAAAACATTGAAAAAAAAAAGAAAAAAATAAGGACGAACCTGTTAGCTGTAAGAATGTGCCATGCAAAAAGAAAAAAAAAAAATTGAGATCTGATACATGAGGCCAACAAGGAAGATAGGAAAAAAATAATGTAGTTTAACATAGGGGCAAATTTGTAAATGTCCATCTTATCCTATTCACTATCTAGGAAAACAAACACATAAAATAAATTGTGGTGATAATCTTATCTTGAGTAAATCAAACATAACAAACATTAGTTCACACTAATCTCTACACCCCAATCTTGAATCCCTAGATAAAAAGTATCTAATCCCGTCTCCGTTAACAAACATGCTCTAAGTTGTCAAGTTTTTCTTGTAATTTTTAGTAGTAGTTCATATTGTAAAAATTGAATGGTCATACTATTGAATATTCAATCATAAGTTTTCCGTTATAATCGAAACCCCCAATTTGTAACATAAGTAATATTTTCTTTTCTTTTATTTATATGATATACATAGACATTCGCAGGCAGCCCTTTTAAATAACTAAAAGTGCAGTAGTGTTTTCCAAGTTCTCTAATAGCACATTATCAAAAGTAATCTTGATAAAATTATTTTATTGGCATTTTTCGTGTAATGATTGGCAAAGACACATTTTTTTTGGATGTACGTATTGATTGCAAAATATATTAACTAAAGAATAGGACACAGAATTGGTGGTGTTTATGATTGCTCGGCTACACAAATCTACCACATTCTATTCCATTTTTAAAATTTAAAGCCAACTCACTAATGATGTGAAACTGCTGTTGTCTATATCGACCAGCCACGCAACAAAATCAGAAGAAAAGATTAACAGAAAAAAGATAGCCAATGATGGTTAGAATATAAACAATTTTTTTTTTTTTTTTGTTTTAGAATATAAACAATATTTTAAAAAAAATGAAAATTAAGAATACTGATTTATTCTTACAGCTTGAATTTAAGCTTATGCGGAATTAAGCAACACAATTTATATTGATATTGTCTATTTTTATTAACGATATAATTTATAAAATATGATATCATTATCTAAGTTATATATAGTTTTAAATATTATATTCATAAATATAATTTATAATATTTTATTTGTTTGTGATTGTACACAGGAGATGAGTACCAGTTACGTAAAACATGATGGAACAGAATTTGTGATGACAAAGACTTGATTAAATGGGCATGGCAAGATCATGGTATTTGTTAAAAAATAAAAACAAATCGACAGTTTTGGCAGACGTTAACTGCCGTTATATTTCTTGACCGCAGCCTATACGGGAGATCTGTAAGTATCACGGAACCAAAACGTCTTCCGTTTGAGAGAGAGAGTGTGTGTACAGCGGGTGTTTGGCTGTACTCATAAAAGAAAGTAAAGAAACAAAAATATCGATAAGAAAAAAGAAAAAAGAAAAAGTGATATACATTGAAATTGATTGATATTCAGAGAAAGGGGAGGCGAAAGAATCGCTTTGGCAATAAGCCATAAAAAAAAAAGTTGAGATTTCTCTCTCTTTCTCTCTCTCTCTCTCTCATTCACATCAATTTATATATACTGGCAACATTTTAGAGAGAGAAAGCAAAATACAATCAATCGTGCTTGCGCGAGACGAGGCGACGGCCATGGCTGAGTCAAACAGTGATTCCGTTTGCCTCGACGTAGAGACGATTTACCTCGGTGGGAAGGTGTTTTTTCCTTTCTTCATTTTTCCTTTATTTTTTTGTTGAAAAAATTGTGTGGTTCTGGTTATTAAGCTTGGTGCTTGATGGATGTATGTTCGTCCCTCGCTCTAGCTACATGTTAAAACTCTTAAATATGTATTGTTTGTAACCTGTTAGTTGAATGCTGTGCTGCGTAATCGTTTTCAGCTGGTTTAATCCCCTATATCTGGTTTCTTTTCGTTCTTTTTGCTACCTGTGTTATGGAGCACTTTCTTGTTAATCTACATTCTATTTTGTTTTTTTGTTTTTTTGTTTTTTTTTTTATTAATTTCAGATTGGCTTGTAGATTGTATATAACATATTATCAAATGGCCTTTCCTTCAATGTTGACTGTGAAAGAAAATGTGGTTAATGTTAATTGTTGATCTTTCCTTGAAATGTGGATTCAAGAAAAATCTTCATATTTGCTTCTAAAAGATTTGCCTTATTGATATATGGAGAGATTGGTTGAATTCATCAGAGCACCTTAAAAGGATGGTGTGTTTGTGCTTCTTTGTTTATTATCTTCTTTAGTTGCAAAGAAGTGTATTAAAGAGAGTCAACTACGTCGAGACGTAATGTCCCCTTACCCATGGAACCAGATTCCATTTTGTTTGAGTTATATTACATCATGACGATAAGGATCTAAGTATTATACCTTTATATCATGACGATACGGATCTAAGTATTATACCTTATCATAGAAATGAACTTAATTGTTCTGATGCTATTCCATTTTTAGTTGTAATTCTTCAATGTATTTGGTTAAATCCGATTTATCACATTGAACATTCTTAAACTATTCTAAAAGTACACCTGGAGCTATCTTTACTTCAACTATTCTGCTTCCTTAATAGAGCTCAGTTGTTGCTCTGTCTATGGACTCTATTATGTTTCTCTTGCCAGTGGTTATCAGTGGCAATCATAGCATTGTTATTGCATCTGCTAGCTCAATAAGTTCCATTTTATCCATTGCTTTTTCTAGATCTGAATAAGATTATGTAAAGTTCGCAATGATTGGAAAGTGGTACCATCCCTACTTTGACTTCCGTAATAATCTTTTGTGAGCAGTCTGCCCAAAAGGTTGGTGGCTGCACATGGTTTACTTTGTCTTTAAGAGTGAAGAAAGTGAATATTCTGGTGATTTCCTTGAAGGATGGCCAACCAAATTATAATGATAACTTTTTCCCTGACTATCAGTTTATGTTTTCATGGACAAAATATTAATAATAATAGTGGCCATTTTTCTTTATTACTGTTAATATGATTTCTGAATGTCTTTGTCTTTATTATAATTGATTCCGAGCCTTCGCTGATTATCTGTTATTTATATTTTCATGCAGGAGCATATTGTACGAACTGGTAGTGGCTCCGTATCTGTTATAGTTTATGGTGACCCAGATAAGCCAGCCCTCCTCACTTATCCGGATTTGGCCTTAAATCGTGAGTAATGGATCATAGATTGTATTTCCCTAATTTTCTTCTGATTGTCATTGTTTGATAAATTATCTGTATGACAGTCTAGCAAATACCTTTTTCTCGCTTTTTTGGGCAGATATGTCATGTTTCCAAGGATTGTTTTTTTGTCCGGAAGCAGCAGCATTACTGCTTCATAATTTCTGTGTTTATCACATTAGTCCTCCAGGGCACGAGGTTTGTGAATGGCTGAACTTGAATCGCTGAACTTGTGCTGACTGCATAGACAGATATATCTTTTTTATTCTCTTAATTAATATCTGTAAATTTGTGCATTATTTATGGTGCCTTCAATAAAACAAATTTAATGGGGCCCTGATAAGAGTTCTTACAGTTGGGGGCTGCTTCAATTTGTCATGATGATCCAGTGCCTTCTGTCGATGATTTAGTAGATCAGATCCTTGAGGTGGTTAATCATTTTAGGTAATAATATTAGATTGCACTTATGTCACTTTTTTTAACATGTATGCTTTTATCACATTTACGATGTGCTTAAAAATGTATTCGTAATAAATGAAATTTAATTTGGCCAGGCTTGGTGCAGTTATGTGTATGGGTGTACTGGCCGGTGCTTACGTCCTTACCCTTTTCGCTGTATGGCCTTTTTTTTTATTATTATTTCACCACAACCGTTTTATGTCCTGTTGTTTGTTGTACTAAGCTAGTTTATTTACTTTAACAGATGAAATTTCGTGAGCGGGTTCTTGGTTTGATCCTCGTTTCTCCTTTGTGCAAAGCACCATCTTGGTCAGAATGGCTCTGTAACAAGGTCCGACATCTACAACTTTTCATACCTGCTGTCAGAATTTCAATGGATAAAAAGAAATGTATTGTTATGCTACTTTGCAGGTGATGTCGAATTTGTTGTATTATTATGGTATGTGTGGGTTGCTGAAGGAATGCTTGCTTTATCGTTATTTTAGCAAGGTACTTGTAGTACTTTTCTTCAAACAAATAGTATCTCCTTTATCACCCATTGTGATTTTTATTTTTATTTTTTTTGGGTTAAGAGTCAATATATTTGCTTCTTATTGTAACAGGAAGTCCGCGGCAACGCTGAAGTTCCAGAGTCAGATATCGTTCAAGCATGCAGAAGAGTAAGTGCATGATTGCATGTAGTACC